TGCCCACAAAGAGAAGGCTTATTTCTGCTTTATCCTACTCTCAACTTGCATATATATAACCTTATCTGACCTGTAATTCAGAAAGTCATTTTGTTTGGTCAACAACAAGGTCTCCACCGATCACTTCAGCTCTCTTCGTACTCTCGAGTGCCCATTAGCCCCTGCCCCTGTCCAAACCGGGGAATTTGAACACGCTGATGTTGCGGTGAGAAAGCGTTGTGGGAGGACCCTGTTGATGACAGGCTGCTCACTGAAAGGCAGAGGGACGAATACAATCGGGTGGAGAAGCTCACGCACGACTCCAGTCCAACGGAATCCCGACTTGTTTAGCCTGTAGCCTACCGGGCACAGAGGAGCTCCGGTGCGCAGTCTTTACGCACACCAAACAGCGGACCGGGGGACGTCTGTCAGTCACCACCATGTCAGCGGCAACAGCTTCGATAGCAGATGTGTCCCGGACTGATGTTACCAACAAAGATGACAGCCGTTACCGGAATAATTCAGGTAAAAACGATGAACTGATTCAACATGCTGTCTCGAATTGAGCATATGCTCTACTTCTCTTATTAATAGAAAGGCCTGTATTTTAGAATATTATATACATATTTTTGTAAGAGGGTTGTCTACAAGTTTTATTCAAAGATCATTGCATTTATGTATTGAGATTTAATTTATCTTTTGCAATATCCCTCTAGTTTTAAAGTTAGTGTTCTTCAATAACAGTCAAGGATGCATTACAGATTTGATCTTTTTTGATGGGTCTGTGATGATTTCTGAGAAACAAAAATTGCATAGGTGAATACACTTTCTCATATAATAATAGTTGTTGGCAAGTAAATGAACATCATGCAGTCTGTCTGTCTGTCTGCCTGTCTGTCTGTCTGTCTGTCTGTCTGTCTGTGAGACCTCAAACTTTGAGTGTGCTTTCAAGCCCCCTGTGGTGATAAAGTGCACCACATTCTTCTCCTATAGGTGCACAGCCCCTAGGAAGAACGTCACATTCTTGGATGTTTTCTTCCAATGAATAATTACAAAGAGGAAAACTACAACATCTCTCCAATGCCAGAAGTGTATTGGTTAAAGTGAACACCAGTAGCAGCGTTTCCTCAGTAAACAGGCACACTTGGACTTGGCCTGATCACATTATCCGTCCCAGTCGTGCTGGAAATCACCGACTTGATGTCATTGTTTTTATTTGCAACCCAACAGCTTGTGTCATGATGAAGTGATTTTATGTTGTTGGTTCTCCGTGCCAGACTGCTGACGTACCAAGCTAACACAGTGAGAGACCTCCCCTCCTGCAGCCAATATGCTGAGCACTGTGCTGTATGATAACCAGTTGTTTAGCATGGCTCCAGATGGCCCTTATGTTTCCACCAGCCTTGCAGGCCTTTTGTTTAATGATTTATCACATTTCCTGTTTCGATACTGTTAGAATCCGATGCAGCACAGCACCAGGCGGTTACAAGGGGGCGGACAGTGTTTTGTCACACATCGTTGTGCAGCCCTTCAGGGGTTCAGTGCTGGTAGCTGTGGAATGATTGTCCCATCCAACATTACATCCCATCTGCAGTGCTCCATTCTTCTTTGTTGTTCACCCTGAACAGTTGTTGTGCTTCTTTTGCATTCAGAGTCCTCGGTTCATCTCTGAGAAAACACATTTCTTTTGAAGATACATTAATTATGCATGTATTCAAACGTTAGCTGAACTTTTAATGATTAACGAACTTCTAACTATTTTCTTTTAGGTCAGGCTCAGTGTGCACCCATGACCCTGCCAGTCCTGGGCACCCAGAGGATCATCCAGGGCAATGGCACCACGGTAGGGACAGTCATCTCCCTGCAGTGCCCAGCCAAACACAAACTGGTTGGAAGTGAGCTGAAGTGCGTCATGGACATCAACAGCCCCCACTGGGTGGGCGAGACCTACTGTAAACGTGAGTAACTAAGACCTAGTTAATTTAGAAATATTTCCTCTTAATTATGCACTTTATAACTAAAAAGTGTGTGTGTAGAATACATCCTTGGATAAAAGCGTCTAACAAGTGATATGTAATCTAATCTTCAAAATACTTATACTGGGAGAATTGCAGTGGCTGCAAAACCTCCCCTGAACTGTCTGTCTGCTCATTATTGTGAGGAAATGGGATAGACTGTATATTAACCATCATGTGATAGACATTGTGGCTGTGGGCTATGTTACATAAAGATACTTGATATTTGGCTTGCCATAATGAATTCTTCTAAATGAGGTGAGGACACATTTGAGAGAAAAGTATGTCTTGCTTGGGGATAAAGCTCATTAAAGGATAATATTAATGGTAATGGAGATAGAGAGGCAGGTGCACAGTTGGCCGCTGCTTTGATGAGCAAGTGGAAAAGGGGAGAGCAGGATCTTAATTATGTTTCAGGATAAATCATCATGGGAGAAAAGAAGCTGGTGGGAAACGGAAATAAATGAAAAATGGGATTTAGATCTTATTGTCCTTTCCTTGTTGGAAAGTAGAAAATCTGCCAATCTCCTCTGGTCAAAAAGAATGAAATACTTGTGGGATTAGTTTATGTGCAGTGGCATACTTGTACATAGATTTTGCAGAATGATAAATGGAACTTTAAGTGCATGGCATTGAAATAAAGTCGATTAATCAGTCATCATTCTTCTTCTTCTTCTCTCACACCCCAGCTCTGTCATATGAGGACTTTGGTTTCCGTGTGGCTGTTCTGGCATCCATGGTCAGCGCGGCCATAATCCTCTTCATGTCCATGGCCTTCATCACCTGCTGTTTGGTCGACTGCATGAGAGAAGACAAAAGGAAAAAGCAAGAGAGGTGAGATACCATAACACAAGTATAAATTAAAATCAAGGTGACCATGGAGAATTTGCAGTTTAAAGTCACTGTTATTCACTGGAGCTCTAATGTGTTTAAAGCATTTCCTTTCTTATATATTTTTTTAAAGCCAGCACTGTTTACATACATGTTCACTGGCTTATTGTCTTCTTTGCTTATGCTGGCACATAGTGTGTTACCACTACATAAAGATCTGGGCAACAGTGTGAAAGAATAAGCCGATCTGTGTACCGTATCATCCGCTTACCTGCATGAGCATCCTCTTGCATGAGACAAAAATGAAACTCACTCACAAAAAGACAGCTCAAAATCCACACTAGTATTTGCTGGGATTACTGATGTGGAAGTATTTTCAGCAAAATTAGTTATCAGTGAGTTTTCTGTAATGCATTCACGAACTGAAGTACTGATATGCATGTTTAAATATATTTCTTAAACAGGGAGGAAGATACGTGGACGTGGGAGGAGCAGCCCCAACATCAGGAAGACAACAGGTCTCGCTACAGCCATAAAGGCAGGAACAACAACAACAACAACAACACCCCGGAGAAGGTTCTTTCACTTTGGGACCATGAAAACCCAGCCATGTTCGACAACATGCAAGCCTGCAGGTGAGATTTAGGCTGACTTTTGCTTAAACAAACAAAAATAAAAATAAATGTCAATATGTGTGTAGACCACAACTTATTGTCTTTTCTTCCAGATGTCATCAGCAGTACTCCTATGGTCTTGACCGTGAATATGGCCCTGCTCCTCCACTTTCTACTCTCCCGGGCTATGACTACAACCAGCCTCTCTTACACCCAAACCTAGAATATGCAAAGATGTCTGGTCTTCCTGAATTCAGCGATCCTCCTCAATCCTCCAGCCAAACCATGAATCCAGGCCTGCAGATCTCAGCAGAGAGGCCTGGTTTCGTACGGCAGTATGGAGGACGGGAGAGCAGTTTGTCAGGAGTGAGCCCATCTACCAACGATGAATCCAACACAAGGAACATAAACCCTGCCAAAGAATTTTCCATTCGGATTATATCAGTGTGAAGTGCCATCATCAGTCAAAGACTTGGTTACCGGCCAAATGAATTGGTCTGTACAATGAGGACTTTAGGAAATAATAATTGAACATTCCTGATCTTGTTGAAAATATAATGTCTGCAGGTCTGCACTGTATGAAGGCTCTATTTGCATACTGATCGGACAGATTTATGTGCCTTTTGAAAAAATGTAATGGCACAGTGCCCTCTGTCTGAAAAGAATAGCCATTGCACTTTCAGGACAATGGCCTTGTTGGATGACAACCCCTATAATCTAAATGTCAAGGGACTTTCATGCACTTAACAGAGCTTTTCAGAAACAAGTCATATTGCTATGTTTTGGTTAAAGTTAACCACTAAGGAGATCTATGGAAAAGGGGTTCACAAAACATTACAGGCAGCTGAGAACTCATGTCAAGGCTCACTTTGGTGGGTGTGGAGATGAGCTGGGGAGCACTGGCCACAATGTAAATAATACGGTGTTATTTTTTAAAGAATGTAAATAAATGAAAGACTTCTACCGATAACAAGTGAAGTGTATTACATCATACAATGGTGTACCTTTCCCTCTGAGGAACAAATGTAAATGTTTACACGCTATCGTGATAAGGTGGCAGCAGTGATTTTGTCTGAGTAATGATGTAGCACAGGAACACACAGGAATTTTAAGTGACATAATAATAATACAAACATTTAAGAATGTAAAATCAAAATAATAATAATAGGAATAATAATAGGGTTAGTCACAAAAATATGAAAAATAATAGGGATAGTAATAATAATACTAATAATAATAGCGATTATATTAATAATACTAATAGTAATATAAATAATATTAACAGTGAGTATTATTAGGCCTAATGTTCTTATTATGATTATTAATAATTCTCTTTTTTATTATATGTCATTAACAGGTGGTCTAATTGAAACTAGAATAAAGGAAAATAGGGAATAAATGAAAGTGATAACTGAAACCTCTGCGGTTCAGGGTGAGTAGTAAGAGAAGGTTTAGCTCCGGTAATCTGCCTGTCAGCTCAGCACAGGATACTCACCACGTGGCTCGGAGGTCATGTGGCCCCGGCAGGCGGCGCCGCTTGCTGATGTAACGGAGCAAAGAGACCGTCACACCGGGGACACCAGGAAGTTTTACCGGGAGCCTCTGAAGCACGTCCCCCAGTCTGTTTTTCAGTATGACAGGTTTGTGAAACATGGGTAAGATGTTTTGGGATATTTTTCAGGAATCATTGCACCCACGCTTCAAGGATACAGAGGATCACTGGCCGCCTGCTGTGCTGTTTGGGTGCGCCACTTGTTGCATATAATCTACAGTTTGCAAATGTTGTTGGTGCTATAGCAATGTGCTATCAAAAGCATTCATTTTGGCTTAATGTGACGAAGTGTTTGGATTATATTTCTGCTCAGATATCCAGTCTAAAAGCAAAACAAGCAGTTATATGTAAACGATAATTCAATAGTAATATAGCCATTTAGAAAACATATGCATGTTTTACTGTCAATCATATCTAATCCTGATGTTTGGTTTAAGAGTATTCTAAAATAACTGCCCTTAAATATGACATTTAGATCATGTGATCTTTATTTACCTTAACAACAAATGTTGTTTATTTATTTCTAGTAGGATATTATCACCTGTTTTAAAGGTGTTGCCAGTTTTATTGAATAAAAATGTAATTTGTAAATTGTATGTTTTTCAGAAATTATAATGCTGGATGTCACCACATTCACAAGGCAAAGATAGACTGTTGGAACGTGTAAACTAAAAGACTAACAAATGGACACTGAAAAGGAAATCTTCTTTTATATTGAACATTAACTTCAGTCACTAAGATACCCTTCTTGATTCCTCAGTGTTGAAAGCATCAAAGTGAGATGAGATCGACATCAACCGTGAGTTCGTAGGAAAATGTTGGATTGGTTTTGAAATCAGTCTGTATCTTAAAAAAACGTTTGCAAAATACATACTCAAATGATCATCAAGTTTAACCAGCAGTCAATAAAGGACATGGACTTCAACACACTTTTATTCACTGCAGACCTCCCGGGCTTCCTGTTAAAACAAATGTAAGAGCCTATTTTATTTAAGCACACCCTTTCGAGTCAATTTGTTATTAAGTGTTGTCAAATGGACAATTTTACAGCCACTGTATTTACCTTTTTAAACTGGAGAATAAACCTCTTAATTATTTATTTTCAGAGCAGGACTTGTGCCAAAACCAGCTTACCAAGAAACTAGCTACTTACTGTCAGACTAGACACAAAATCTGCAGGCCTAAAATTAGAGCTTTGTAGCATACTCTAATTGAACAGGGTCATACGTTTATGACCTGATGTGAACTCCACACAATGGCACATGCAGCTTTTAGATCACCAATGTCTTAATTTATATGAATTAAAAAAGTTTGAATGTAGTGTGCATTTAAGTCTGTCTTTAATGTTGTGCTTTCTATCGTCCTTGACTAGACATTGACGATTACCATGAGCAGCTCCAGAGGGACGCCCACTTCCTGTGCTCGGATCAGAGGATGGACACTGAACTGATGGACATATTGGTGCTGCAGCTAAACAGGATCTACCCCCAGATACTCAGTGACAAGGAAGCCCACGGGGTCACTACAGTTAACATTTGACACTATTCCATCATGAAACATCCTGTTTTAAAAGTGATCATGTCTTTGCACCTGGTCTCTAGTACAGTGTGTAGGTATACAGTTGTGAACAGTTATTTATTTCATTACGTGTCCCCCCTGCAGTTCAGGAAGCTGAGCGTTCCCACCAAGGTGAGGTTAGCCGAGTTGTTGAAGCACCTGCACAGGAAGGGCGAGGAGGCATGTCATGAATTCTACAGAGGACTTCACATCCACGCTGAGGACGTCTACTCCAGCCTGCCCACCAGAGTCATACAGAAAGGTACAAACAAAAACAGATCTTAATGTATTTTTAAGATGAAGTTTTGAAGTAGTGTAACGGAAAGGTAATTCATTGTGCAGTAAAATTACTGCAGTGGTCATGTTAGCGGTGTCATAATATACCTGATTTGTACAAATAAATCATATGATGTTTATAATACAGATGGAAAATATTGTGTTAACAACCCAACGCTTTTTACCTATATTTTATCAATTATATTTAAGTTTCTTTGCATTCTCCTTACTCAATGTCTCACACACAAATTAGTGTAATTAAAGGCCAAAAAAGAGACAAAATACACAATAAAAAAGTATTGACTGCTAGCATTTATGCTGGTATACAGTATTTTAAAATGTTCTAAATTGCGATATTATTATTGAGAATTATTTTCACAATAACCATTTAGCTATAATCTGATATTGTTACAGCCTTATTTTAATTAAATCACCTTGCTTTACTGTAAAAAAAAAAAAATGGTTCTGAAAATGGAAGTGAGAAAAGGTCTGTTCATGCCCAAAGTTAGTTACACTTCTTCTTTTCAAAGTCATGTTGTTATCCAATACATTTGGAGTGCAATGGTTTTGCGGATCTCACTTGCAACTTCCCTGGTGGCCCATATCGGTGGATCCCCTGCTGTGTAATTGCCTGTCTGGCCTAATGTAGCTTATCCTATCCAAGAAAAAGAAGGAAGCCAGTGTGTTGCCTGGACTACAGTGCAAGTAGTGGATGTGACTAAACATAGTCTCATATTAAAAGTGTTGGGTTGACCTCCTTATTTTTCACTCTTTTACGTTCTAGAAACGTCTGATGCTAAATGGTCTAACACCATGGCGATCCACCAAGAGCGATATGTGCTGAATGACAGAGGTAAATCTATTCTATAAACTGTGGGTTTTCTCCGGAAGTTTTTCCTTTTATGATGTGAGGGTCTAAGGATAGAGGGTGTCGTTTTTTCTCATACT